TTAAAAACAAAAAAAAAAAAAGGGAAAAACCCTACCTGAAGCCACAGTGGAAAGCCCAAGGAACCTCTTGGATGATGATCTGATGCTTGTCCATCATCCTTGATTGTAGATTCACCTTGACAAACTATTTCAAACAACGCATTGCTTTCCACACATTTATTTGTGATGCGCAAAATTGATGTGTCCTGGTTTTGGAGGATTATATTGTTAGTGCTCACAATAGTTTCTGGAATCTTGCATAATTCTTCAATCTTGCACCTAATTTCCTCATTTGATCTCATTACATCTCCAAATTCTTGTCTCCTCACTGACTCATCAATACGAGCAATTTCAACAGAAAATATGCAAATCACAGGCTTGTGATCACTGTCTGTCACATCCATGCAAGACTCATACCTATTTAACAGGATACATCAGGATTCATTGAAGATAATTACAAAGATATAAAGATAGATTATAGCAGGAAAAAAAATTGCAGTCTGCCCTGAAAAAACAAAAGCTTCTGTGCTTAATTAAGTATTATATTTCCTACATTTGATCAAATCCTCATTCATATTAGGAGAAAATTGCAACAGTAGTCTCTCTGTGGCCTTTTCACAATGTTTTATTCATCCACAACCTAAAAACCTAGATTTTTACATCCATCACCTTTTAAATTTTTTCCAAACCTGTCTGCCCATCAACAAATAGTTTGAATATGGTCGGAATTTTTTGTGACACTTAGGTGGGTATACATGTGGAAAATTCTGTCCATATTCTAAAGATTGCATTGATGGAGAAATTGAGCTTGTTAGATCGTGGATGAAAATGAAGCATTATGAAAATGTCATGGACTAGTGGGGCAATTTACTCTTTGCAGTAGATAACTGGGTCAAACAATAATCAATGTCCAAAAATCTTTTTGACAAAGTTGATATGCATAGAAGACTGTTCGAGCATTGCTCTCACCAGAAAGGATCAAAAGAGATTATGAGGTGAATTAGAGTGTGCAATTATTTTGAAGACATTAACTGATCCCTAAACATTTCCCAAAACAAAAACCAATTAAAACTTACTGTGATACAGAAGAGACAACAGGACAATATAAACTGCATTCAGATCCCAAAGTTCGTCGGCTATCACGATATAAAATTCTGTCACACCAGGCAGGAATGCGCTTCTTTTCACCAGAATCATAACCTGTAGGTATTTTTAGTCAATCAAATAAATTCCTAGAAAGATAATAATACCTGTCACTAACAAGAAACCTTTTCCTGAGCCCCTCATAATAGACCACTTAAAACTCCAACAACAGAAATTGCTAAACCACTTTATGAATCATAAAATGCACAGAAGTTGGATAGGTAACAAAAACACTTAGTGACTCCTCAAATACAGTTTAGAAACAAGCAACAGATGTGGTAGATGAAGAATTCATAGTTAACATTAAAATACCTGATAAACCAGCTATGTGCTTTTCAAATTTGTACGTAGGAGAAAAAGTAATAACTGCTTCCCGCATTCCCTGGAAAACATTTCCAGCTTCCATCTCTGCTTGAAGTTGATCCCTTTCTCTAAGCCAATCAAAGCTTCTTTGAGAAATAAAATCCCTTGCTTCATCATATGATACACCATCAAGCCTATAATTAAAATCGCCAAGAAATACAACCATGTCTGCCTCAGACAATTCAGGCATCACTTCAACAGAGTGGGCACCCATAACCTGTACAAGCATCAAAACTGTCTCACACACTAACTGGAAGGAATGAACCTTTTAAAAGGCAAACGAAACATAATGGTGGCTTCTATACATACATTAGCGCCACGAAGCATTTGAACAGCAGAAGAAGCACCAGCTGCAATAGAAAGGACCAATGGCAAGCTAGATCTATAAACAAGCCAAAATAAATACATTGAGCAGGCAAGGATGCAAGGCAAGAACAGGTACAGCACCATACCAGCAGCAGCATTGAAGACATTAGATGGTCGACTAAACGTCATTGTACGATAGACATGGTCAAAATCAGCATTGCGACGACCAACAGCCTCCAAATGTGCAGCAAAGTGACAATTAACAAAGCAAAAAATCCTATCATACACTCTCAGTCTTAAACCAACAGCTCCCTGGGTGAACAACCAAAAGTATATCATGGTTAAACAGAAAACAGTAAAGCATTAAAGTTATAATTTATAAGCAAACTTAAGTCCACAAGCCAAAAACAATTTTTTTTTTTGTTTTTAATAATTTTCTATATAGCCAATCAGTCCTTTGTTCAAACTGAATATCCAAAGAGAAAGAAGTAAAGCATTTTTAATGATTCTCATCCATCAAGCTAATAAATTTAGAAACTACTTAAAGCAGCAAAAAGAAATAGCCAAAAACTTCTCACTAGGCAATTAAAATCTCTTGCCCACACCTTAATTTAAGAATTACTAGAATTGTACTAAGACACCGTATTTCACTTTCTTGATAACTGTAAATTTCTTGGTTTAATTTTGTGGGTAGAATTTTTTCACTAAAATTTTTGGTTGATATGTATGATATAGCATTTCTAATATAAAATAATTCACTTGTGCATGAAGCGTAAGATTATGCTCATGTATTAATTATACTAAACTTTAATAATATCTAAGAAATATAGAACCAAATGGTTCATATTATGCCCATTTAATGATAAGCAATACCTTGTTACCAATCGCACGCCCAAAGCCACATGGCACTGCAGCTGCATCAATATCCCCAATATGCGGTTTAAGATTACCCTCAACCCTAAAACGCAAATTCAACCATTAGATATTGAAAAACCAAGTAACATGCACTACTAAGAACATGAAAGTAAAGATGAGTAAATGGCTAAGAAAAGAAAGAGATCAATAAAACAACTAAATTTGGCATATTATGACAGAAGGTTTCTTGTGGGATTTAATGTCCGAGACTGTATTACTTAGGCATTTGTTTGTAAATATTGGAAATTTGTTACTAAGTAATTTATTTCCTGTTTGTGGTTTAAATATTTAAAACTAAACCTACTTTGTAAGTACATATGTTAGGAATAATCTAAGTACCCCTTGGAAGCCTAGTCTGTTAATTATATTTCAAAACAACTCCTCTTATGAACAATACATGCATGCAATTAAACAAGGCATTGAGGTCCTATCCATCCATTAAAACTGCAAAATCACTTTACCGATTTCACTTTCATCTTTTGGTTGATATAGAAAACCAAATAACAGACAGCAATGTTGAATTGAGCAAAATAAAAAAAGACAGAAATGATGAATGAATTTTCACAAAAACAGGATTACCTCAATTTAGCATAAAAGATACATTCTCATTGTGATGAAATCAGCCAATTATTAATTCAAAAGTTAAATTATAGAAAAGAATGTATATGAATCAATTTGATCTTCTCTTAGAATTTTCTCGAGGAAGAGTTCCTAATACAACCTTTTCTTACAACATAAGAAAACAAGAATATAAAAGATGTTCTCATATTACAGTTTTATTTTAATGGTTTGCAGAAAGGCAAATAATCTAGTTTTAGAATAAGTTTAATTCCTATAGAGTTACTGATTTTTCACATAGAAATCCTGAAATGCCTTTCAGCCTTGCAAGAAAACAAGTGGAAAGAAAAGTAGTCCTATCTAACATAACTATTAAAAATAAGCAATATAATTCAAAACAAGAAAAGAAGTTTAATATTCAAAAAACAGGAGAAAAGAAAAGATAATAGAAAATCATCCAAGTTCTTGTCATGATAGACACTTACCAAACAGCAACAAGCATGCCTGCCAACTGTCTAGATCCAACACGTTCATACATTTTCCTTTCATGCAACTTCTTTCCCATCATAACCTGTGATTTTCTTTCCATCATATCACGCAATGTTTCATCTATCAAATCCAACCACCACTGTCCAACAGCACTCCCGTCACGCCCTACCTATGATGAAAAGGAGAGGCAAGAAAGTGGGGATAAATAGGAAGGTTGAAAATTGTGGAAATCATATCAGCAACTTGTTAAATACAGCATGACAATTTAGCATTCATATTCAGCACGACACTTAATAATTTCTTATTAAAAAAATAGGCATCTCTGGGGAAGGGGTTCAATCCTTCTTTTCCTCTTCATTCTTTTTCTATTTCCCCTTTCTCCTTGCCCTTAATTCCTTTTGGGAAAGGTCCAGTGCAAACACCACGATTGACCTAATTATAAATACAGGTTAGTTAGATAAGGAAAATTGTTGCAGGCTTTGCAGGAAGGAAAATATTAAATCCGCTTCATTCTAGCTGCCATTAAGGTAATGAGAGTTGTACATCCTTTTTCAGCTATGTTAATTTCTATCTCATTTCTAAAAATAGCCATTGGTTTCAGCATAAAAGTAATCACTTCAAGATTGACCATCTCTCCAAGTGGCAAAGCAACTAAAGAACAGAGCATTACAAGAAAAAAAGCCATGCTGGTCAAGTCTCTGTTCAGCACACTTTGTCGTGTATTAAAGAATTACTATGGCTTGTATAGTGCATGGCTTCAGTGAGTACCTTTCGCAAAGTGCATATCAGAATGTGGTCATAATTACCATAGCTACTTTCCATGCAAGCCACAAACAACATTTATTGTCTATCTATACCTCTTTCTTTCTACCAACTAAGTGGCAGATGAGAATCTAACTCAATGGTTGGAGTCTTTAAAGTTTAGAGGTTCTAATGAT